TTTAATTAACACCAGTATATATACATATACAGTGGGCACTTCAGTCGTTACGTCAGTAAATCTTAATGCAATCCCAAAGTGTTTAGAAAGTCAAATGATTTTTCTGAACATTTCCCTGTGTATGTCACAGCTTCTTTAGCAGAATCTTCGAATTTTTATTCAACGTCAAAATATGCTGTGCATGTGGGAATTCTGTCTTCAGGCTATTGGTTGGCTGATCTGTTTTTAGACTGATTATTACTAACTACTCATCGTAGATTCATGCAGTCTTTGTCATTTGTTAACAAAAACAATTCAATAATCAGTGTCTCTGTGTATGTGTTTAAATGTTGTGGAAAATGTATGAGACGCTCAATTTCTTTCAGGACATTCGTAACAACTATTGTCTGGATGTTTATAACACTTCAATCGCTTTATCTCTTGATGCATCTAGTAGATACCGGAATAAGGTAGATCACGCTCTTTCTGTGATATACCGTGTCCCTTGCAACCTCCATCACGGTGCACGACTTTGCATCTTAACCATAGCCGAAGCCATAGAGATCAGCGCAAGAAAACCGGACCTATGTATTCAAAAAAGTATGTACATCTACTTTGTTTACCTTGGCCTACGACAGGGTCGACACGTTCTTTATGAACTTTCCTACCACAAACTGCACATTTCAAGCCGCCATTCCTTTCTTTTATACTGTCATTACTTTGATGGACATTCGTTTTTTTATCCATATCACCAGCTCTACGCCCTTCTTTATTCACACCACAACCTGTAGACACTGTCAACCGTGACGTAATACTTCACATTTGTTATTCTCTATTTCGTTATAGTATTCGCATGATTTTTATCCCACCACTACATAATTACTATTATTTCACCCTTGGTAAACAAACACACATACACACGTATTCATACCCCAACAAATGTATATAAATGAATCATCATGTGTAGATTTTATCTCTTCATTTCGTAGTTGTTCTGTCAATATTGATTTCATTGCACAACTAACACATTAGACTGACAACAGTTCCACCATTCCATTCGGTTCGATCTCCTTTCACCCATAACACTGACTATCTCAATACAGTAAAATTGTAGATCATGCCTTGTTTCGGCTATTGTATTTCTCATAGATTCATAACTGTATAGCCTGAAGAAGTTATTGAAAACAATTGTTCGCTCAATTTATTCTTATTGTTTATTGTATTTTAACTGTTCTCTAATTTTGTTTAGTAATGATGGGCAGTGGCTAGCAAGTGAATCCAGGATGCAAGCAATAACACTGTTCTCTAATTTCATCAAAATGTTTACGATGTGCTTTTACTGTATTTGTATAGAAGTATATGATTCAAAGCAGCATCTGAGTATGTGTGAATAATGCAGTACAGTTAATAACTTCTGAATTCTTTTGAAAAACTATTAAGTTTTGCTTGTAGTTTGATGAAATGTATAAGCCTACGTAAATGTCAAATCTCTTTGAGTAAATTCAAGTTTACCGACAATGCTGACTTTGACAATAGTGCACTTTATGTTTTAGTCTTCACAGAAGGTTAAATGGAAAACGAACAAAATTGGATAACAAAATAGTTGTACACATCTCGTAAAATATCACATTCTGCTATTATTATATTTCCGTTTTCCTTGCTTATCTATGTGTAGTATCTCTTGGTTAGTCAACTTATAACCAACTTTCTGTATACACTAAGGCTTGGATACTCTTTTATAAACATTATTTAGTTTCCTTCAAAGTAAGACTAATTCACTTAATTTAATTTTGAGTAGCATGCTGTTGAGCATGTTTAAATATGTTTTTATACCAAGTGAAATCTGAGAGCAATTAAAATAAATCTCTTTAGTTCCCATATATTTCAACTCTATACTACCTGTTGACATAATCATGTTTTAATTAATTAAGAAGTGATTGAGTATTGCAAACGCAGTGTACAAGGAATTACAGTCTAAATTTTCTGTTCAGTCGCCAAGAGTAAAACTTCCTACACCTCTAGAATCAACTCTTTTTAAGAATGTATACTTTCTCTAATCAAAATGTTCATTATTGTAATAGTAAAAGTAGATGAAAGACTTTAGTTCACTTATTGTACTAGGGAATCGTTGTGCTATCGTGACCAATTGGTAATTGTTAATGAAACATCTAACTAAATACATGAAGTTTCATATGAATCAATGACAAAGACTGAAATAGTGGGCATCACAACTAACTACATTCTTGTCAAACAGGTATTTCAGTTAGTCGTTTTCATAATTTATCAGTAAACTTCTTTTTCAACAGTTATACGCAGAAGAGAAATCCTGGCTCAACAGCTAAGGCAATAGAGTCTTTTATCACTCACTTATATAACGTGGAAATGATGAGTGGACTAAGTAGTACTTAGATCTGATAAGCAGTCAAATCTCTTTGGTTAGTAGATAGAGTATTAGGTCAGTTATCTATAGTTCATCATTTCTAGTAAACTGAGAGCTTACAGGCAGATTAACAATGTTTTAAACTAAAGGGAAACCTCTTCTAAACATCATTATATTAGAAAGATATTGACTTTTATTCAGATCAGTGGGTGAATTAGATTACATCATATCAGGTTTAACAAGTGACAAATGATTTTAGCATATTTTTGAAGGTAAATACCTGTATTTCATGTGTAAGTCATTTTGTTAAGAATCCACTTCATTCATCGGGTAAAATGGATGATTTTTAGTGTTGAGTAGGATTGGATGTAAAAATGTTTGTCAGTGCGTGTTTTTAGAATAAATGGACCCATTAATAAATATCTAATTCAGATGCAAACATGTCGGCTAAGATGAGACCATGGATAACAGTGACAATTGTAATCACTTCATCGTTACAGGTAATTAGAAATACAGGGGAGGAAATACTAAATTTTGTAATTTCCACAAACGTAAAAGAACAGTTTATTGGTGTTTTACGCTTGATGGTGGCTGGTAGTGAAATACAAAGTGCGTATTCCGTCCTATTTCGAACTCCTCAGCCAGGTGCACCAGCATCCCACGCAGTGATTTTGTTACGAATGAGACTACAACCAGGCACACACCACCTCAAACGCCAGAAAGCTATACACTAAGCTACTGAGTCATGAAAGTTATCTAGTGTAAAACAGGCATCATTTGTTATTTACTGATGCTCCTAATTTCTCGTTAGTCATTATACTGGAAACATCGTCAGTGGGTGGGGTACAGGATCGCCTAGCTGACGATTCCAAACAGAATGAAACACGAGCCTAAGATTTCACTACCAGAGACCATCAGGAAAATAACATCAAAATAAAACTTGGAACAGTATTGAGGTGGGAAAAAATAACCTATGGAAAAATGTTTACTCTGTTATGGTTAGTTACCTGTAAATGAGAAGAATACAAGATTAATAACATGATATGAGAATTATTATATTATTATGTATATTTAGATGTCACGACAATAAATATTCTATCCTTTCCTATTCATAATGCAACTGTGTAAGTGCTGAAGTTTTCAAAACTGAGGGGATGGGTTTAGTACTGAACATAGCAATCTCCTCTGAAATGAATTTTTCTGACTTTCCCAAGTTTAGCTAATCGACTGAAGCAAATTATTCCTTTAAAACGTTTGTCTCAGAAGCCTCGTACCATAAAATGTCTGAAGATATGTTCTTAAAAAGCTATAAAGATGAATTTAAATATATAATCCGTCACATACATTGAAGTTGGCATTCGATGAAAATTATAAGCTTATAGGAGATAAATCATGCATGTGATTTCATCAAACATTATACCTGTATATTTCAATTTTTCAACTGTCTACTTCCAGAGAAAGGAATCTTTATCCATGCCACAAGAATTTCCCGTAAGAAGCAGACTACAGGAAGTTTTTCTACGATGGTGTCAAATTGCTATGTCTTGAAACTATTCATTCGCAAATAAATGAAACTCTTTTGTTAACCTAACTAAGCTCAGAATAACTCTGTCTAGTGAACTTATATTTTCAAATGTTGAACGCTGAAGTCTATATGGACTGTGTAAGTTATGATGAGCAGAAAATGACTTCTTCCCATTCTGTTCGCTAGCAACCTGTTTTTAATAATTCTTGTCAGTACCAATTTAATATAGTAGTAGTATAGTGCCTAACTATAGCAACTAAATTATCTTTTTAAAATGTAATTCTTTAATCAGTCAAGCCTTCTTCTTAAACTTATAATGAAAACAGTACATCAAGCATAAATTTCCATTCAGTAAGGTAAGTAAATTAATATCTCATCAAATATGAACCTGTTTATCAATTTCCTTTATCTATCTAAAAAAAGTGAAGCGTTTCGTAAAGATACATTCTGGTTTGGCAACGAAACCAGAAATCATGGTATGAACGTTGTACATGATTTCACAACTCTCATGTCAATTTTAAAATAAACATAGGCGAAAATCATTATCGTAATTACATTTCACACTTTGCATTCGTTTTCACCAGTTTTCGGAGATTTGTCATTCTGGAATGCAGTCTGCTTGGTGGTTAGCATTGGAGATCAGGATGTTCATTTCGTCCTGTTTGGGGCTCGTCAGCTGCACCCCATTGAGCGATTTTGTCCCCACTGTGACCCGAACCAAGCACCCTTAGGTATCATTTACTAGGCCATTGTGGCATATGCAACAGTGATCGTGCAAGGAACATCAGTTGTTGGTTGTTGGTACTTGTAATCTCCCATTGTTATAGAGGGTCGAATTGCATGACTTCTTGAAGAATATTACATCTTGACTTATCAATGGTGAATAATCTCTACCTTAGCATGTTAACGTTGCACACGTCTGACTCATTCACAGCATAATAAAAGTTATGCTGTCGTTGAAACAGTAATCAAATAACTGACACGACAGATTTCATTTTCAGATCATTTTGTGTCCCAATCGACAGGTCTTTTAACTCTGACTATCAACAAATGTTCTAAGCATTTGGAAAGCTCAAAGCTTACAAATTTATTTTATTCTTTAAATTCTACATTTTTAGTAAAGTTTTTGTTTGCAGCCTTTATGATTGCAGACATTTACATTAGGCCTTACTGAATGCTAACAAATTTCAATGGTAAGCAAATCAGACACTTAACTAGCCGCAAGTCATCTCAATTCGATAAAATCTTGCTAAGTTCTGAAGAAATATTGCTATATTGAGTTTTTTATGACCTTTTTGCAATGGTTCAGAAGTTATTTAAAGTACAGCGTTTCCGATCTGTTCAAACGTAGATTTCTCAAGAATCTGCATTCAATTATATAAGTTTTGATGTGGAGTAAAGAAATGCTCATTTGAAAATTTGAATGACTGATTCTAAACATATGTATCTGTCGTGCATAAACATGACTTTAAGCTTTACATACACATAGTTATCACTCAAGACCTAATTTCAAATAAGTAAATCAAATACAAATGGTAATAATCCAATTACGTCAAACTTTGACTGTTTCCAGAATTACTTAGTACTGCTACAATGAGTTTGTAACGCTTTTAAAATATATTAAAGGAATTAATGAAGTTAGAAACTTTAAGATTATGGTCCACCATATAACTGCGACTTATAACTGACGGTTATAATAGAACTTCAAGTATTTACCAAAATGTTGTAAGCGTGTCAATCACTCCAATCATTCAACTTAGTGAATATGCAAATATAACATAATTAAATCAAACCAGGGGAAAAATATGACATAGTAGATTTATGGCTAACGTATACTTATATATAAAACGATCGCTTAGGTAACATAAGAAATTACTTAACTGTAGCGCAGATAGTCATTTGATTGTCTGTCTGATAATCTATGAGAAAATGCAAATATTTTCGAATCTACCCACTTTCAGTTCGATAAAATACTACAAAGCATCACGAAGTGCTGGTGCATTTAGTACGAAGTGAACCTTTCAAAATTTCAATGCTGAAACTCATTCAGTATTTCGTGAGAACATTTAGTTATTGTGACGACTCATCTATTCACTTGATTAAACCATATAAATTTACTGAACATTTGTAATTCTTTAATGCTTGCATAGATTATTCTGTGATATCGCTTTGCTCACTTTATGCCAGTCGTGTAATTCACCCATAAATACTGAGTGAAAAAATTACCTTAAACCAGATACAACTTGAATAGATGCATAAATAAACTACCCGTTGAACCACTTCGAGTGACTTTAAAGGCGACCGTAGCAACAACCGAATTGACCAATCAGGCTTCGGTACTTCACCTAGAAAAAGTACTTTTTCATAAAATAGAGGAATGTAATTGACTATCACATTAGTTACTAGGGTGGCCTTTAAAATCACCCAGTATTTCAATTTCCTTCTTTATCTGAAAGTTTTGAAGTTAGTCTAGTTACCGTTTTTGTGCAAAAATTCACAAGAACCTCACTAGGTGAATAAAACAATTTCTTTAAAACATTTAGAAGTTGTGTTATTAATATAGCGTAGATGTGGTGAATGCGTAAAATCAATTTTTGTAAATATTATAACGATGTGTGGCTGAAAAAAACTAAATGACACGTAAATCCATGACCAAATACTAACTAAAAGCTAAATGTTTAAAGTGTCTTCGGCAAGGCCAAAATGCAACTCTCGGTGGATTGCAAATATAGATATGATGTAGTGTTACATTGTAAATTCGCTCCCAGAGAATAAACTGGAGCTTGTTGCAGTCTCTTCCTTCAAATCAACTGTATCCCATGAATTGCCAAAATTCCTAAGTAGTTTTTGTCTGCAACAAATCTAAATCAAAATATCCATTTTGTTGTCAACATTCTGGATCTATAAAGTTGATGCTTGTGAATGTAGTAAATTAGGAACAAAATGTAAACTAATGGCAGTACAATCTCCATGGTCTTTAGCCAAATCGTTTAGAGAAAATAATAAATAAGTCAAAAATTTTCCCTCTGTATAATTATAATACGACATACTTTTGGCTTAAGCTACGAATCTAAATAGTCGAATAGGAATAAACTTTACTTTTTATCCAGGAATTTTATTACGTTTAGCTCAACTGTCAAAAAGCTGTTATTAATGTACCAAAAAAAGTACTCACAGTAAACACACTTCGGGATTAACGACTCCGTAATTCAACAGAGGTTAATAATAAAGTTTGAAGTGTAAGACAGTGAAATGTTGCGAAGTCGTTCATGAAGTGTAAGCTTCAATTCAAGCCATCTTACAGTTATCGGTCACAAAAGTTAGCAAGGAGAAGGCAGTCATAAACGTAAAACAGAACTCAGATAAAACTCAGTAAAAGTCAAGGACTTGGAATTATTCCAACAAAAAAAAGGAGGAAGGAATGGAAATCTTTCAAATTTCTCAACCTAAGTCTTGAGTGAATTGATCAGAGTTTCTGAAAACAAAGATCAGTCTGTAACCTCTCAGCTGAGATAATTTTCGTGACTTAAAGCGAGACTGAATCAAACTGTTCACTGAATTTTTTGGATTTCGCAAACAAAAGCAATTCGGAGTAAAATTGTCTGCCATAAGTATAACATGGAAGCATCTAGAAAACTGAAACAGATGAGCTAGTTACATGAAATGCGATGCTATTCCTTTTTTTCTTAGCTATTGAAAATGTGAATATTAGGTAACTACATTAAGTTCCACTTTATCTTTTGAAATACATTTTTAACTGAACGACCGTAAGAATCAAAAAACACATTACTACTAATATCTTAGGCACCGAATTTTATGTCTCTTTACTACGACTGAAAGAAGTAGTCGCTTTCTATACTTTCAGCTGACATAATTATATTGTTGATTAGGTTTTGAAATTTCAAATCACAAACCAGCTTTCAGTTATCAAACTCACCTGCTGAAACACAGACCTTCTAACTGAACTCTTGAAGATATAATGAATTAGCAACTGAAAACTGTGTATAATACAATCCGAAATTACCATCAACCAAAGAATTCGGTTTAAACATTGAACTAAGTTAGTTACCTGTCTTATCATTATTTCACTACATGAACAAATTAACCGCGCAACAGCATAAATGTATTCGTTTTATTTAAACAATCATCACTGTCACTAACGACAGTAATAAATACTGAACAAAATACAAATAATCTGATTATTTACAAAAAATAAAGAAAACAAAAGGTAGAACATCGATAATCTTGGAATAAACTTAAATTTGAAATTCATTTAAGTATTGATTTTCAGACTAGTCAGTGATTTTACTCGATCCTTTGAAGGGCCGAGTGAACTACTTCTTTTCTTTGGAGACGAACATTTGTAAGAATTATCCGAACAACTTGGTGACGACCAAGAGAATTTTGAATTTATTGATAAATTAATGCCAGATTTCTTTTTGTGCTTCGAAAGATTAAACGGTAGTGGTGCTGGTTTTTTATATTTTATAACTTTGTGATTATTTGTGCTTATATCAGAGGGTACACGGTATTGATAGTATTCGCCACCGTATTTGTAATGATGATGAGGTAACTGATAATTTGGCAGAAGGTTACCACCTGATGGCATATTCAGCTCAATAATTTCTGGATTATGTCGAGGTTTTCTTAATTTATGCAAGAAAGGATGACTTTTCCGTAATAGATGTATTTTATGGTGTTTATTGTGGTGAGTGTGGTATTGATGATGACAGTGATTGTGTCTTTGTGTTTTTGTCCAGCATTTGTATCGAATAATTTTCTTTAAAGCTAACAAAAATCTATCACAGAACCAACAGTAGAAGAAAAATGAAAGATCACTTTTTAATGCCAATGCAATTACAGAGATTGGATTAATGTAGTCTACAACACGGAAAGGTTTGTTCGATGTTATTCTTCCTATGTTATTATGGTCTATATGTGTGCTGCATGATAATATTGTATTATTAATAATTCTGTTTGCATCTGATATGTAAAAGCCTGTACTACTGTAACGCATAACCACGGTGGTCAGCACAAATGGACCTTGACAAATAAAAAATGTGATAATTAAACAAATTAGTGTAATTGTAATCTTTTTCTCTTCTCTGTGTGAACGTCCCAGTTGTGCCCCCGTGGGTAAACTTGCTGTTAAGCTTGGTGGAGTGGCCAACGGAGAACAGTCAGTGGTCTGTAATAATTCATTTTTATTCATAATTGCATTACATTCGTTTGGTTGATAATTGGGATGAAGTGGATTATTACTTATTTCCTTGGACTGTAAATTTAGACAACCACAACAAGTTATTTTACGAAATATATTGAGACATTGATTATTTAAATATTTATTGTTCGATGCAGGTGGAATGGTGCAACACGTTCGTATTCTACTTATTAATCCACCAGAGGGTTGCATAGAATCCAACGAAACTAATGATTCTTTTTTTAATTTTTTACGTCCGTTGATCAAATAAGAGTAGCGTATAGTTTGAATTAGGCGAACATTCACAAATGTTAAAATACTGAATGGAGTAATTAGATATAAAATGATTTGTACAATCCATGTATAAAGTTTGCGAAAAATCACGAAGCTATACGATGGACTAATTTCTTTTATATACCCTAATATTATAAATCCTGGCAGTTTGATCAGTACACAAAATAAGATAACAAATGATATAAAAATACGTCGATATCTACAGTCAATGAAACGTACTTTTAGTGGATGACACACAGCAAAATAACGTTCAGTGGCAATTAGAACAGTTAACCAGTTCGATATTAACAAAAGTGTATCAACTATTTCACCCAATATTGTTTCAGCTAAAAAGTATATTCTTGTATACAATCCTTCAGGTAACGCTGGTATAATGAAAAAATCCATTGATAAAATGCATAAGGATAACAGTGTGAATAGATCTACCACAGCTAAGACTACAATGTATGTGACTGTAGTTCTCCAAAGACCACGTTGTGTAACTGCAATCAATGTTACTACTATGCACAGAATACTGACGATGAATATTGGAATTGGTAAATAGTGTTTTAAAATTACATATATTTGTAAATCTGTGATGTCGACTTGTGTCACCAGTAAAGAGGATGAAGACAATGGAGACGATACTCGAGAGAAAAGATTGGATTGATTCAAAACAGATAAACCCCATGTTTCATTAATGCAGTTGGTATTTATAGTTGGATCCTTAATCATTTTGAACTCATTCCAATATTTGTTTCGCCGGTAGCATATATATATATATATATATATATATATATATATATGTAAGCGCCACCTGTTTTCCTTTTCTCATTAGCTTGCTGCATTCTAGAGAGCTCTACTATTGGCTAGAATTTGATTGGTCGATGAAAACTCTTTGGATTGAATTTCAAAGATTAAAATCATCCATCTAACCAATCCGAATAAATGGTAATGGGCGAAAATTGTTCATCATTATAACTAGAGAAACATACTTCAGTTTACAGTATACACATATAACCTCACGCTCGTGTATTAATTAAAATGAATCAGGAATATGAATGAATGCACAAATAAAACACCTTTGTACACAAGTTGCCTGTGCAGAAATAGCTTTAAATATTACAGCTTCCTTATTTGTTTTCCGTGTCACAGTATTATCGCATTCAGTAAAAAGTTAAAAATTCTTTATAATGAAGTCCACTTAGAGATATAATTCTATAAAAAAGTGGCATGGTAGATCAAAATAACTGCAAATCAATACCACGTACAATCAAACAAAACCAAGCCTATGTCTGAAAGTGATAACACTTGCAGACTTTGTATGACATCACTCCATGCTATTTTATACTCATTCTCGTTATCAACCCTAACAATCAAAATCGAGCGGCGCTGTCTCATTATTTTAAAACAGGAGTTGACAGTAGTGTTACATTTTTTATCCTAGAATTCACTACATTCCATTATCCATTAACATAAAAATACTACAATGCATAGTAATGAAATGCGATTCCATTAGTTATTAATACTTAGTGCTTAAGTCGTAAATAGCTGGTATCTAGCATCTGTTTAGAGTTTCATTTCGTTCAATCAAAAACACGTTTGAGTAATCCTAGTTTCAGTTGTAAGTAATTCTTGGAAATGAAGAATAGCAGACCGTTTCCTACTAAATCTTGCACATCCCTGTAAGTGTCAAGCATTGTGAAGTATACTGCTACCTCTACATACTGCTGCAGTAACAGAATTCATGCTTCGTTGGGTCTTGTACAAAAGTAGTAGTTCTCCTTGGACTATAATTCGGTTTAAACTAGTTATATGTATACAGAGAAATAGGCTAACCTTTGGATTTGTCGAATGATACTCTTTGATTATGAATGCAATCGGTTTCCAGGTGGTATTTATCACAGACTTACATCAGTTTGAGAACGCCTGGAAACTTAGAGGCACTGAACAGCTGCCTAACCCTAGTAAGGTGCTTCTCAACAGTTCGATCCTTGGACAACTTCCAAACTAATCAGTTCCTATAAACCTGTAGACTAAAATACTTTCGATAGCTCGTTAGTGGTGAGATGAGATTTCTGGAAGTTCTAATCAGCAGTCGATATTACTGGGACAGGCTAAATAGGACATGAAGACAGAAATCCAACAACAGCATTGAATGATGATGGCTTTATATGGTGAATTGGCAGAAGTAAGTGAATGTGAATAACTGGATCCCGACCTACAGCCTGAATGGCAACATACTCACCACATGACTTGGAGGTCCTGGATCCGACGCTTAGGATCATGAGGAGTACTGCTTGGAAGTCCTATACTATGATGAAGTATCTGTCTAGTGCTCCCAAGCTTTCAATGGTTCTCAAAATGATATCAGTCAATGATGAATATTAGGTTAGAAATAACTAAATCCCAACAAACCTCAAAACGAAATAGTCAATTTCTGTTCAGCTATTATTTTGAGTAAGACAAAAACTTTTTAAATGAAGTATTACATCCGACCTATCAGATATCTTTTTGTTGTGCCCCAAACTTGAAGGTAAGGTATAACAAAAGTAAAAAAGCCACACCTATGCATCATTCTACTGTCCATTCGTACGAATAATTTGCAACCTTTTAACATCTAATAGTTGACCTGATCCCATCACAGATTAATGTGGAATGGTTCTAAGTGTTTTCGATACAAAAATGTTTACATGTACGGAAGGAATATATTCCGCAAATATTTATTTTCGTCGCGGAATCACCTCAAGTCATAGGCGTATATTATGTCATTTGAGGACTTGTTTTTGAGCGTAATTAGACAAAATTTAACAGCATGTTTCGTGAGAGATCTAAAGGAAGAGACACCATCATAGATGAACAAGAACAAAGATGCTAAGTTTAAGTACAAGTACTAGCCGATAGTACTGAATATTACTTGGTCAAGTCAGAATTCGGAAAAGTTTAAAAACGCGAACCAATATGTTTGAAACCAATAGCAGAGTGACAGATAGTGATATTCTTGGTTTGATCACGCACTACTGCATCAATTTCTATAGATGCAAAGTCCTAACCTTGAGTAAGACATGTGCCGACCACTCTCCATTTTTCAGCTGTTATTCTGTAGACAACAATCCATGATGAAAGCTTTCTTGAATATAAAAAACTCTTCATGAACCTACAGATTTATGTTGCAGTTCTACGGGAAAACTATAACAGCTATTCTTATAACTGAATGGCATCTAGATGCATAGTCGTTTATGAATGGTAAGAATAACAGCTTTCACCTTCATTTGGTTGACGAAAATATTATAACAACCTTCAAACTAAAACCTTTCACATTAACGTAAAAGTTTGAGCTTAAATACACATTTTCTGATCTTTAATTTGCTTTGTTGTAAAATAAACAGTCATTTCCTTATCTCAGTCTTAACTCTATTTCTAGTTTTCATTGTGTAATCTGGACCTGAACCATGTGACACTAAAATCAGAGTTGTCAGCAATGAACAGTTTGATTATTACTGACGTTTTTTTACTTAGGGGTATGTTGCGTCATCTTTTCTAGCCCCTACTGGTAAGAATGTAGCACTTTCAGGTATGCTGAAAAAATTGTTACGATAAAGACTTTCAAAAATGTTGAATGCTTGATCCTTGGTGGGGGGGGTATCTCTAACTACTTAACAAAAAGCATACTGAATTCTAACCTGGTATACAGAATATAATCCTTTAATAACTCCGTAGAGATTCATTTCTCTTTCCGTAATTTATCTCATTTCAAGGTCTAAAAGTCGTCTTCTAGTTAAAAAAAGACTAGTTTTTCTACAAAAGCAGTCCTTTCCCACAGTATTTTCATGCCTAATGACCAGCAGAACGGAAATAGATATTACCATACATTTAACTCCTGTCAAGCGAACGGATGACCAGACAGTGGGGAAAACACTCAATGCTTGCAAGTAATAGCCTGTTAATGCAAATTTCGCAATGATGGCCAGCAGAGGATTACAGAATGTGCCTCTTACATTATCTGGGACTTGTCAGTAGGACATATCTGCATCCCAGTTAGTGATTTCCCCCTGAGACTGAATTCTCAGAAAATCAGTTTTCACCTTTCCTTTATCTATTTCGATGTCAGGTGATAACTTACAAAGTAATATGAGAATATGGAAGTGTAACATAAATAAAATCAACTCATATGTGCTTCAAATGGCAGTGAGAAGTAATTTACTACGAAAAGTAATTTTTTATAACATTTTATTCTTGAAAAGTATTCCAGAGTAATAAGTCTTCGACTCAAAAACGCATAACAAGAGACAAGAATAAAGTTTTAGAAGATGAGTAAATATGCTGTCCCAGTTGGGCTAAAAAGTACAGTCGATAAAAACCCTGCATACAACAGCTGTTATGATCCAGAATGGCCCTCTTTTTGCAACACGAAAACAGCTAAAATAAGAAATCTCGTCCTATAAAACTCTAGGTTAGTAACTCTTATATCACAATTCATCTATACTCCGTGTTATTGCAGCCTCTTGAGGAACAATTTCAAAAGACTAAATAAGTGTAAAATATCGTGAGTCAACATATTCAACTAAAGAAATTGAAAAAAAGTTTATAACTATTACCTTCTAGCACACTCACTTCTTAAAAACAATTATCCAGAAGTGTTGTTCATAAAAAAATTAGATTCATGTAAATACATCGAAAACTATCCAATAGAGAAAGTAAATTACTTCTTAAATCTCAGTCTTTTATACATAATTAGATAAATTCTGTAAGGATATGTAGATGAAACGGTTGATAAAAATGTAGATAATTCGAAGTTGAGTTGAACATTTGGTTATCCATTTCCTCTTGTTAATTTAATAAGAAATTCAATGTTCATGAGGTTATGTCAAAACAGATTTTCATCGTTTATTTGATTAGGAATGAATTAAATTCACTTTTTCTCTTACAGTATATCAAGTTCAACTTTTGCTTACTATCTTCAGATCACAAGAAATGTTGTTAACAAACCACCTCTATGAGAACTATATACATGTAAAAGTAATCATCTTTGAGTAAAAGAAGTGCGTATGTAATCAGCAACGTGGCTCCTGATCTTCAAAATTGAACAGTGAACAGCATTTTTAAAATTCCCCGTCATAATTCAAAAGGCATTTGAGTGAGCAAAGAATGTTCTTTTTGGTAACTTCTTCCGGTTCTATGGTTATACCTACATATTGAAGAATTACGCATCAGAAATATACAAATTCCGTTTATCAGTTTGCTCACAATACTATACAGTTGAGGGAGTCGACTGAGAAAAGTCATGTATGAACGTTTATGATGTAATCGACTTTTATTAGGATTCAATTCAAATAACTGATTATCTAAATGAGTATACGTCCTATGTAATAATATAAGGTGATAGTTAACTGAAACAGTTGAAGGGTGTTTATGACAATCGTATGAAATAGACTAAGGAGGACAAAACGGGTTAGGAGAATTTGTCAAAGGTATTTCAGACTACAGGGAAGAAGAGGGTATCTATAATATGGAATTAGATTATCTGAGGCAAGATAATAACGAATTTATGCTGCTCTAGGAATTTAATTCTTTAAGCGCGGTCAAGTTAAGGTCTGGTAAAGACCTTTACAAGTCCCATATTAGCCCACTTAGTTGGAACGAACGGTAAAGTGGATATGAATGGATCGTTTTCCAATCTCTACCGCATTCCTACCAACCTGTCGAAAGGCACCCGGCTCAGGATCCTTTGAATTTCAGAAGCAGCAATAATCCGCATCAAACAACCAGAATTTTA